ACACACACACACACACACACACACACACAGTACACACACACAGTACACACACAGTACACACACACACCAGATAAAAACAGTCGATGGTTCAAACTCACATGGTCCATTGAAGCTTCTCGTTCTTGATGGAGCTGTAGAGAGTCTGCAGAGACAACACAGTCAGTAACGCGCGTGTGTTGTTTGTACTGTGTGTGTGTTTGTACTGTGTGTGTGTGAGAGCAGCGTGTGTGTCTGTGTGTGTGATGGATTATTGACTTTCCTTTAAACAAACAGAGTCGAGACTTTAATCTGCAGAAATAAACAAACTATTTTGTGTTCGTTCAGAAGATTATTTATCTAATTTATTTTTGAACTCACTTTCATGTTTTCTGTTATTTGTATTATAAAGATTTAAATTAGTGATTTTATCATTTATCTATATTTCATGATTATGTTACAAAGCATCATGGTCTTTTAAAATAAATAAATAAACACGAACACTTCAGTTCACGTCAGATGAAGAAGGTCATCCGATCGTTAGTGATTTTATATCCGACGCTGAAGCTACTTAAACCACAGCTCAGTGTGTTCATTCTGAACGTTATGCTCTGTCTGCACACGGCCCTGCAGCCTCCTGTATCATAACTGTATCATAACTGTACTGTAACTCAGTTTAGTTCCACAGAACATTTAAAAACAGAGCTTTCCACTCGATGCTCCATTAAAGATGTAAAAAGGTGCAAAAGAGGAAATAAAACATAATTTAATAGAATAAAAGAAAAGTTAAAGGAAGCGAGGAGTTTGGAGAAACATTTTAAATTAATAGTATTAACTCTTTATTTATTGTCCCAAATATTTCAATAGATTCTTTACTATTTTTTGTATTAACAAATTACAATTTGAATCATAGTTCAGATTCTTAATGAACTTTCATGAATAGTAAAATAATCTCCCGTTGATAATAGTTTGAGGTATCGGAGGGATTTCACTCTCAATGTCGGCACTTTGCAGTTTTAAGCAACCGTCAAAGAAAGTTCCTGAAGATGTTTCAAAATAAAAGCCTTCAAGCATGGTGGGCTTTTAATGTGAAACTAAGGAAGTGTCCAGCTGTGCAGGCAAAATAAATGTTTCAAATCAGATCTGATCGTCTTCCATCGATCAAACTATTCAGAGTGAAAATCAGGAGCCGATCGATTGTAGAACCGTTAAAAAACAACAAAGAAGTGACTGGAATTCATTATTTCAGTACTAGTCTGTGAGGATGAATTTAGATTCATTAAGATGTGACATCAGAAAAAGATCAACAACCTCCAGCCGATCACAACCAAACGTCAGAGTAGAACCAAACGGAAACATTCACACAATGAACTCCGTTTGTGTCACTTCTGCTGTTAAGCTGCTGACAATGAAACTCAACACTTTGTGTTGTTTCACACAAAGAAATGAAAAATAAGTTTGATGATGTTAGAATCAGATGAGATGAGATGACATTTAAATCACAGTATGAACATTATCTTTTCCTTTCCTTGTACTTTTATTGTGAAACTTTTGCAGGCAAAGTTGAGTTCTCATCTACATCTTAACACTTCCTGCACAAATGTTTCACAAAGTAAGTGATTCAAAAGCATGACAGGATAATGAAATATGAGGAAGTGATGATGTTAAGATGAAATGATGAAAACAGTCCTTCAGCAGCTCTATGGACATTCCTTATGCTTTTATTGTGATACTTTTGCCCTTCGGACATAGTCATTCCCTTTTCTTTGGCTTTTATTGTGAAAAACCTGCATGTAAAGTTGAAGTTAATTGAAAAAGAATAAACTGAAGTAGAGACAAACTTGAAATAACTAGCGAATAGAAACTGTTTTATGAAACGGAGAAAGTGTTTTGAGTGCGATATGATGTGTCACCATGCGTCACATGGTGACAGGAGGACGTAACTGTAGGTATCATGTGGTGTGAAACGGTGACTGGTTTTAACTTGTTGGTGTCTGGAACCTTTATGTTCTCTGAAGAACGTTGGCTTCTCTTTGTGTCTAAACCTCACGTTCTGTCAATGAAAACGAATGCATTCAGAGAAACCAGCTCCAGGTTCTACCTTCTTCTTGCGGCTCTGCCGGTGCTGCTGTCCGTCCTGGGTTTTCCCCAGCAGGTCTGGGAAGGCCAGCGGTTTGAGTGAGCGGGAGCGGGGGGTTCTGGGATACCTGAACGGGTCCGTGTCCCTGGAGTCCCGCCCGCTCCGGACCGAGCAGAGCGACCGCGACCGCATGCGGCCCGACGAGTGGATGCTGTTGACGCCAATCATCTCAGAATCTGAATCGAAATCCGACTGAACTTCAGGGAAAAAAACAGTGAATCCAGCAAAAAAAAAGAAGAAGAACTTGTAAATGGAGCAGAGTCTGATGGTTCTGGTTCTGGACTGACGGCGTCCTCAGTGGAGCTGTTGCATTATGGATCCAGCTCTACTCATGCATCACAAACACAGCAGCACTTCATCCGGCTTCAGGTGTTCGGAGCCGAGACTGGAACCTGCTTCAGACGCTTCTACGTTTGAATGAATCGTATGTAATAAAGTGTTTACATGAATCTGCTGTGAGATTCGTCCTCAAGGGATTTTATAAACGCTGATGAATTCGTATTTTAGCAACTTTTGATAAAATCTAAATACAGTTCAATTATATTTTTTTAAATAAAGATGAATTAAATCTTACGCCGACCAACAGTCAGGAATGTAAAGATGTGCTGACATGAAACAGCTAATTGGTAAAAAAATTATGAAAGAAAAAAATGATCTAAAAGACGTTTTGTTTTAAATTATGTATATTTTTCGTTGGCAACTTCCTGTTCGCTTCACGTGAAACAAGTGTGAGAGTGTGTGTGTCTGTGTGTGTGTGTGTGTGTGTGTGTAATCCACTGTTTAGAAGCAGTGATGCGCATTTCATCCGCTCACACTCCTGCAGGAAAAAACAGCCCAAAACAAAACACTCAAATCAAAAAAATATCCAAACCACAACTCTGATCTTCTTCTTCTGCAGTTTCTCCAGAAATGTGAGATTTTAAAGTGTCTGCTGAACGCAGGCGGAGGAGGAGAATCCCTGGACTGCAAAATATAAAGCTGCGTGACGGAGGAAACGCATCAGCAGCATCGACAAAAACATTCACCACGAAGAGCAGAGAGACGGGGAGAGAGAGCACACCCACACATGGAGAGAGAGAGAGAGAGAGACAGACAGACAGAGAGAACCCCCAAAACTGACGTCAGCTTCCTCCTGGAGACGCCACAACCGAGTGGAGATGGAGGGATGAAGGAGGTAGAGGGAGAAGAGAGGTGTGAGCTGATGGGGGAGAGGAAAAAGAGGAGTTTATCCTGTTGCACTCTGTGTACCAAAAAAATCCTCCTCAGATGTTGATCTCTTCGTCCTCCAACTTCATTCTTCTTCTTCTCCTCCTTTGCTTGTTGTCGTCTTCGTCCTGCAGGAGAATCCCTCCGTCAGGTGAGCTCACTCCTCCTCCTCATTTATTCCTCCTGTTCTTCTCTCTGCTGAGACTCTGAACTGTTGAGGAGCGATGCCCGCCCCCTCTCTCCCTCTCTCCCTCTCTCTCTCTCTCTCTCTCTCTCTCTCTCTCTCTATGCGCATTTTCTCTCTGCAGCAGCAGCCAATGAGAGCGCAGGGACAGGACCTTTGGCCCCTCCTCCTGCTGTCAATCAGGGAGGATTCACAGAGCTGAATCAGAGATGTTCAGCAGAAAAAGACCCAGAAATATGTAAATCATGACTCAGCGATATCTGAATGATGACATATTTAAGTTAAATCTATAACTTAATATAATAATGCTGTTTTATTTCAGCTTTGTTTAAACAGGTACATTTCATATGTTGAGACAGTAAAAGACCGTTTACACAATAAAATGTCATTTATATCTAATATTTTACACTCTCCTGCCTATATTTAATGTATGTGTGTGTGTGTGTGTGTGTGTGTATATATACATACATATATATATATACACATATATACACACATATACACATATATACACACATATATACATATACATATATACATATATATATATACACATATATACACACATATATACATATATATATATACACATATATACATATATATATATACACATATATACATATATATATATACACATATATACACATATATATATATATACACATATATATATATATACACA